ACTTAACTGTCACACAGACTTGGATGCCATCATCCCCCTCTAACGGGCCCAGGACGGATACACACTTATCACTTTAGGCAAACGAAGACCCAGAGACGTGAGTCTTGACAGGCAGTCATGCGGCTCAGTCATGGCAGAACCAAGTCTAGTCACGGATGTGCCACAGGTAGCGACTGAGAACTTACCCTAGGTCAGCAGATTCAATTGGTGCAATTTTGTATGCCCCCCAAAAAGAAATATTATGTGGGGACATTTGAACCTCAGAATATATTTGGTTGTCCCAACTCAGGACTAGACCATTGGCATCTAGTGGATAGGGGCCAGGGATGTTTCTGAACATCCTACAGTACACGCGTGGGACCACCCCCCATCTAAGAATTAACCAGCCCGCAATGTCAGTGGTTGTGTCGCTGATCTCTGCTCCGGTGGCGGGGATAAGACAGCGAACCGTTCCACAGGCTCCACTGGAGTTTATGTTCTGGTGGAGAAGAAGACAGACGCCATACTCATGAACAGGACCATGCGATACAAAGGGGAGAAAGCAATGTGCCGTGAGAAAGGCCAGTGGGCAAGGGCAGCTGGGGCGCTGGCAGAGCTGGCTTAGAGAACGGGGCCAGTGGCGACTTCTCTGACCGGCGAGGATGTCTGCACAGAGACGTGCTCTCTGACCTCCCGATCTCCCAAACCTGGTTAGGAGGTCCATTTCCAGTTCTGCTGGGTCCCGCCGCGGAGCCAGGTGGCTTTTAAACATCAGCCCCGAGTCAGTCAAGAGTTCCTCCTCCAGCGATTAAGTCTCATGAAAGCCCTGTGGCGTGTGCCAGCGTTGGGGAAGGCAGTGGGAGTGCAGGGCATCCCTGCCTTTCAGAAAGACACATCCTAGGTGCTTTGTCCCATGAGCAAGTTCCTTAGACTTGTCACATTGTTTTATTTTTGTCCTTAGAAATTTCACTCTGTGTCTTTGCCACAAGCTTCAACGAACTTCTTGGGGATACTGCTACCGTCCAGGGTTAGGGGAACCCGCAGACAAGTCCTTGTCCTTAGAGAACACTGGCGGCTTTGGGAGGCTGGCGGAGGCCTCAGCCCAGCGTCCTGGCATCAGGGGCAGAAAGGCGGTCTGTGAGCACGGGTTGGTGAAGGGAAGACTCAAGACTCCTGTCGGTTTTGGGAACTCTTTAAAGTGACCAGTGTGACCACAGATGGGAGCCTGGGGCAGCTCTAACAGGCGTGGACATTGTCCTGTCTCCTGGACCTGGTTTCAGGCCAACCCTTTGGAGAGCCTCATGCTGACTGGAGTGGTAGGAAGTGCATTTGCTCCTTGGTGATGACTCCGCATACTTGTACGTGTCGTTTGTTTGTTTGTTTATAGGGGAGTGTAGTGGGTTTGATGGTGGCTGTCAAAAAGTAGGTTCATGTCCTGACCTTCGTAAACCTGTGAATGGGATCTTCTTCGGAAGAAGGGCCTTTGCAGATGTGGTTAAGTTAAGCATGCCAAGACGAGATCATCATAGATTTAGGGTGAGCTAAATCCAATGGCTAGTGTCCTCTGAAGAAGAACAAGGCAGAGGGAGATTTGAATCTCAGATGCGTAGCGGGAAGAAGACCAAATGGACATGGAGACAGACACCAGAGGTGCAGTCAAGAGGCCATCAGAAGCAGGAAGAGGCAGGAGGGGGCGTGGTCCCGATGGCACCTTTTTTGTAGATTTCTGCCCCCTCCTCACACACGAGAGAATAAATTTCTGTTGCAGGAAGCCACCAAGTTTGTGGTCAGTGTTTTGGAGACTGGTAGAGGGACGTACAACGCAGGCATATTCTGGATGTTTTCCCTGAAAGTTCCCAGAAAAGGAGAAAGACAAAGGTTACACCCCAACATACTCAATAAGAGAGTCAGACCCCATAAGTGCTTGAGGCTCCGTAGTAGCTATTTCCTTCACCTCCAATCTCGTTTGGTCCTCACCACAATGTCGTCCCTAGTATTACATCACACCGTATAGCAGGGATTCTCAGTCTGAAGAAAACATTTTTTTTTTCTATTCTGTTTTTCTTTCTCAAATTCTGGATCCTAACATCCTTCCCATTCACCCACCATGTCTGAAGCACGTTTGGTGTATTTTTTATTTTACGAGTTATCTTTAAAAATTGCTTTTAACACACAGGTATTCCGACATAACGATTTATGGGCGTTTGTACATATGCGCACAGTACAAAGTGATTAATTGAGCGTTGTATGTTTTTATCAAAGGAAACAACACAAAGATTTCTCCAAAGTCCTGTTTGACTAAAGATGATTAATTTTAATTTTCACATGAGCGGCGTAATGCTATTAATCATTTAATATGTTTAATCATAATCTCTGTAATTCCTAATTAGGTTTATTAAGCTGAAACATCCAGCAGTTATGCACGAATCCAAATCTAAGTTTCCTTCTTGGTATGAGAAGGAGCGTGTTGTAATTTGCATTTGAACAGCAACTCCTAACAGGAGGGAAAATGTACAGTGGAAGCTGGGGTCTCAGTTGCTGCTTCTGCAAACTTAGGGTGCTAAGATGCCTGACCCCTCTGAAGAGTGACAATCCTGTGGTTCGAGGTCATTTACATCTCCTGGACATGTAACCAGATCTCATATTACCAGCAGAGAGAACGCAGTTCCAGTCTATTTGGGTCTGAATGTTGTAATAATGTTCTTCCATGACCCCTGGAAGGTAGTAAGTTGACCATTCACTCTTTAGTGTATTCACACACTTATACTCCATTCACCCATCCAGTCAGTGAGTCGGCCAGCCATTAAACAGGCATTTGTCATTTATCTGCCATGGCTCAGCCTGGGTCACGTGCTGGTCATGTCACCCTGCTAGGATCTTTAAGGGGCCCCTCATAGCTTGTAGGATGGAATTTATACTCTTGCTGTGCATACAGGGTCCTTTATGAGCTATCCCACACCGACCTCTGCCCTGTGATCTGCCGCCTTCCTCACATACGCCCCCTCCGACCAGCGATAGGAAGGGTCGCATATACTCCCTTGAATCCAGAACATGGTTTCACCTCTCTGCATCTTTTTCTTTTTTTAAAGATTTTATTGGGGAATTGGGGAATGGGAACAGTGCTGGGGAATTGGGGGAAGGGGAACAGAAAAGTTGCTGTCCTTTTGTTCTTCAGTCTAGTTGTGGAGGACGTTGCTTCACTGGTCCATGTTGGTATTATTATCATTGTGCTCTTCCCGGGTGAGGCAGTCGCTCCCTGGCCATTGGAAGGCCGCTCATGGCCACTCATGGCGACTCACGCCAGCTGCCCGCCAGCCCCACTGGAGCCCATGCCGTCGCCAGCGACTCACAGCAGCCCAGCTCCAGGTTGAGCTGTTGTTCAGCATCTTAGCTGTGGAGGGCAGTGTCACGGGCCCTCATATGTGGGATCCGAACCGGGGCCCTCTGGCGTCCCAAGCCAGCTCTTAACCAACGCGCCACTTGGCTGGTCCTAAAACTGTATTACATTTTAATTGTTGACTGCATACCGTGTGCCATGGACTCTGCCAGTGATGCCTGTGACTGTGTTCAGCGCTCACAGGTCCTGATAAGGGGTGCACTGTTACTATTGTTCATTTTCCCGACTAGAGAACTGTCACCACCCTCCTTATTCACTCCAATGGCATAAGCAAAGTGACCAAGTATGTCACTGTTGTCACCTTCACATTGCACTTGGAAGTGGAGGAAGTCCACCTGGTACGACTTTTGACCCAAACCTGCTTGCAACAGTAATGTGCCAGCGCCAGGAGATCTTGACTTCAAAATGCAATTCAACGTGTGTTAGGATGGAGAATGCAAATGAAGTCTGCCAGTTAATACAAGGGTTGGCGAGGCAGTCACTAATTATGCCCACGTTGGTTTGGCATATATATTATGTATATGTTGTTTTCCCTTTGTAAGATTGTCCTTATTATTTTACACCTGGCTGCCTGCATTGATAGTTTTGTCCCAGTTATATGCTTCTAAATTGCTTATAGGTAGGCGAGGGCGATTCCTTGCTTATAAATTGGACACACTTCTGCATAGGTTTTCCATTTGGTTTCAGAGAAGCAGGTATCTGATGTGGATGGCATCTACTGCCCTCTGGAGGCAGTACATGATAATTGCAGAGAAAGTGTCTAGAGGGTGAACATCTCTGAAATGTTGAAACTCCAGGACTGAGAGTATGGGAATGGCTACGGTGATGCCAAATGTAACGGTGACTTTTCTCCTAGGTTCCTGCCGCTACATGGATGTCAGGGTAATAGCATGTTATTCAGGTTTTTATTTGGAAGGGGCGGAGTGGAAGGGAGAGGAACGCGTTATGCTAATAATGTAACATTGTCTACACCAACTTATTGCAATAGAATGTTCTGCAGTGAAGGAGATATTCTAATATCTGCTTGTTCAATATGGAAGCCACTGGCCACATGTGCTACTGTGCACTTGAAATGCGGCTAGCGGAAATGAAGAAGTGAATTTTACGTTTTATTTAATTTTAATTTGTTCGCATTTCAATAGCCATGGGAGGGCCGAATGCAGTCGGCCCTCCGTTTGTTGGTCCCTTTCTTGATTGCCATTTGTATCTCTTTCTAGATAAGGTTTTCTCTGATTGCCGTTAAAACTCCGCCCCCAGCACCAACTAACCCCTCCCCTTGCTTTGATTTCTCCATAGTCTTCCCCTCCTTGTGCCACCCACCTCCATGTGTATTTTTTAACAAGTTTATTGCCTGCCTTCTCCCATGAGAATTATACTCCCTGGGGGCAGGGATCTTTGTCTGCTTGTTCACTGCTGAATCCAAACCCATGATGGGCACTAGGATGTTCAATGAATATTTGTTGAATGAATGAATGAATGAATGAATGAATGAATGAATGAATGAATGACTCAGCAGTTCCTCCCCGTTCTGACATTTTCCTACCACATTCGGGAGGCAACAGCACTTTGGCAAAGAGCATTGGGGTCCACTCAGAGCCTCTTCGCTTTGCTCTCGTTTTTTTAGCAGACAGATGACGCAGCGCCGACGGATGGCCAGCCCCAGACACAACCTTCTGAAAACACAGAAAACAAGTCCCAGCCCAAGCGGCTGCATGTCTCCAACATCCCCTTCCGGTTCCGGGACCCGGACCTCCGACAAATGTTTGGCGTAAGTACTGCCTTTCCCCTCTGCAGAGTCCTTCCTTCCGTGTAAGTGTTTGGTGTTTATAATACAAAGGTGAGATGTTTACATAAGGGGGGATAAAAGGATTTTAGACTCTATTTTATGGGTATAATTGTGGCTAGGATCTCTTGATGATTTTAGTGTAAATTTCTTTGCCCGTGTCCACCATGCTTCCGTTTTGCGGAACGGTCTCCTTATTAGTAACTGGAATGTCACATGGAAAATGAACTCCCGGATCACAAACACATTGTTGGAACAAGCCCATTGATGATCCCAAATTGAGTGGCTCAGGACCCTATGTCATGGCTAAAATAAACATTATCCGTCATCTTCGTTCTCTCTATTGCATCTGCCAAATTATCACGACACGTTCCTGCATCCTTACTCTTTCCCAGGCACTGTGCATGTAGATGTCAGCTGCAGCTGTAGAGAACAGTCAGTTCTGCATAAAGGCTTCATTAAAAAACTAGCGATTTCTGAGTCTGACCTGCATCCTGATATACATCTGATATACATGGTCCTGGAGTGAGTGGTGAGGGTTGACAGGGCCTCATGTGATGCGATACGGCCTCAAATGACTGTCCCGCCCAGGCACCATTGTGAAGCGCAGAGTGAGCTGGAAGCCACCAGCAACCCAGAGACAATAAATGATACAGTTGTTCCTTCATGGGACATCCTGACCCCGATCCTTTCTCTGGACAATGTCTACGCTGTCCTCCTTGGGAAGGGATAAGTTTCCCATTTCTTTGGGATCCATTCCACCAGAGGACAAAGCTGTGATGGGCTTGGGTATCGTTCCCGTTTGCAGATGCAGTCAGTCTGTTTGTCTGTGACATCCCAACATTGGTGTGAAGCGTCTGTGATTCCATGAACCGAATAGCATCCTTAGCGTTTGACTCAGAGTGAAAGGTTGGCTGCCTGGAGATTACTCTTCTAAGAGTGTTTGGACAGATGCAGACATGACAAAAGGAACAAGAAAAAGCCCAACTTTCATGCCGGGTTCTGGGCAGAGGAGATGCCATTCCCCTGATGAAAAGGGGAGCCCTGACTCATCGCTCTGTGATTGTGGCATTAGCTGGCACCTTTTATTTCTTTAACATGCGTGATGTTTATCAAGGATGCATCTGACACAAAAGCAGAACAAGCGTTCTAATACTTAAGATACCCAGACTTGAATCCTGACATTTCAGAGGAAAAGGTCAGCTTCTGCACTTTCATCTCTCTCATTTGGTAATAACCTTGAGTTGAGCCCTCTAACTCTTGCCGAGCAGAGATACCCTCGGGCACTTGCAGGTCAAAGATGACTTTGAAAAGTGCAGAGCATTCAAAGTTAAAGTGGAGGTCAAGTGTGTGTAAAGCCATGAGACCAGGTGTGAGTGATGGACAGCTTAGGAAGACATCTTGCCCTTCAGTCCATCTTTACTCATCAAGTGTCACTGGGATGTTGGCTTTGAATTTGGTCCTCATAATGACCATCTGCCGCGCTTTTATGGCATCACTCAGTGCAGCACACCCCAATTCCCACCCCTGAGGGTGCTCTTTTCTTCCTGCTCTTCTGAGTTATCTTGAAAGTTACCAGAGAGCTACACTGCTAAGTTGGAGAGGCATTCAAAATATTCACAGCAGCTAGAACTCCTACAGAAGGGACCCTGTGTGCATGAATAACTAAGCCTCAGCTCTTACGGGCTTAAGGCAGGTGGCACCGAGCAAATTCTTGCCAAAGGATTGATCGTACTACCAGCTCTCCAAACTTGATCAACATCTGCTGGCTTCAGAGCCACTTTTTGTAAAAGGCGAAATTGTCTATGAACTAACACAGCATACGAGTACATTCAGTAATATACCAAAATTACTTTTGTTTATCACAGCAACATCTGTGTCCATTTAGAAAAGTACACAAGATTTTTTTTGTGGATTTCATCCATAAAAGTTTGGTTGGTGGGGCGGAGCACATACGAATTCTTGAACTCTGCAATAACTCTGAGGCCTCCTTGGCTTACCAACATCATTCTGAAGAGATGGAATTTTAACACTAAGAACAAAACAACACAAAACTATTTTTTCCTGGCCAAACATCCGTGGTGGCATGCCCATTCTGGTGATATGATACGTTTAGTGGCATGAGTCACTTTGAAAGGCATCTGTAAACATTCCGATTGGCATCCCACACTCCAGTTGAGAGACTGAAGCATGGTTTCCTCTTTCAGGTCAGAGTTACTCAAAAGAATTGCATTTCAATCCCAGTCAGGTATTTTCTAAGTCGTTTGGATATCAGCTCTCACCTCTCCTTTTGGTGCTGCGTTTTTCCTTTGTCCCTTTACTTTGGCAGAAGCTACCATGAGGGTGATGACAGAGAAGAACCCTCATACAGATCTGCGTGCTTTCCTTCTTTGCCTCTTTGGTTTAACGTGGCCATGGGACTTGCGAACTGAAAACACAAGACCGAAAAGCAGCCGCCTTTCTCACACGGCCTAAACCCTGGCAGTGTTCATAACAGCTTCTGTAACCGTTAATAGTTCAATCAGGAAGTCTGCAATCTCTGCAGGCCTAACGCTTACAGCAGGCGCCTCACGTTCTAATCTCTAATCTGTGGCTTCAGTACCCCTTCATTGCAATTCTAGGCTGTCTTTCTTCCACCACGCACTTCATTTTCTTTCCATCCTCCTCTTTTGGAGGCATGTGTTTCAGTGTTTGTCATTAAGTCTTCTAGCTCATTGTAGATTTCCTTTTGTGTTTTCTTTTAAGATGGAACATTTCTTGGTTAAGAAGTTGCGTGGCCACAGTATCCAAAGCAGAAAGCAGAGTCTTTTTCAAACCCCTGTGGGGGTGTGAGTGAATGGATCAAAGAGGTGTTGGTTCTGGGTGTTTTACTGGAAGGAACATTGGTCCCATCCTGGCGACTTCCTTGTTGAGCTCTGTCTTCATTTCAGGGATCACTCAAGAGCCTGTACTTCCTTTACGCTGAGTTCTTCATGATCCCATTAAATGAATGTATGGATTTCCACCAAATTAATTACAATATCTCGCTCCTGAACACAAAGCTTAACTTAACCTAATGTTCAAAGTGTAAACGTTTCTGGGTTTGGGGTGTGAGAGGCGGTTATAATACATCCAGACCACTGATACAATGTATTCCATCGTAGAATTGGTTTCCAAAACAGCTGCTCAGTGAATACTAGGTTTCAAATTGGCACAGTACCCTTGATGTCACAGCCTTGCTTTTGTTATCAAAATACAGACGCTCTAGGGCCGGCCGAGTGGCTCAGTTGGTTCAGAGCTCGCACAAGAGTGTGAGCTCTGAGCAATGGGGTCACCGGTTCAATTCCTGTCCTGAGCTGAGCTGCCGCTGAACTGCCAATAGGTGGTGGGATGGCTCAGCTAAAAAAATAAAATAAAATAAAACAAAAGTAAAAATAAAAATAGAAAAAAAAAAACAGATGCTCTGAGCATGAATGTGATCTACCGAAGTCTGTCTTTCTTTATAATCACCAAAAAACAGATCACATGACTTTTAGAACATACGAAAAAAGTTCCCGTGGTCACCTTTGTGGTAATAAAATGAAGATGCCCCTAACCCTAGTGTTAACACCTCAGTTCCATCTGCCATGATGTTATAAGTAGTGGACCCATTTTTTTGGACATGGCATGATACTTCCTAGGTCTACATTCTAACCATGAAGCCGACCCCCAAGAAAGCTCAGATGATGCCTTTTCTTAGCCTCTCTGTACACTCTTGGAACTAATCTTTACTTTCATGTTTCATGCTGTATCTATTGAGCATCTCTCACAGTTTTGCAGAGAGATATTATTTGATCTGAGGATGTCTAAAATATGCCTGGTACGTATTTGCATGCATATAAGTTTCCAGATTTTGTTCTTGATACAGCCACTGAGACACCTTGGGCGGGTTCTGAGTTGTTGCTGAATGCCGCTGAACATTGGTGTTGAGCAAACAAATGCTAGTTATGTCTGCGAATGAGTTGTGTCTATTTAAATTGAGAATGTGCCAGCTGTGTTTACATCATTAGTACCAAACTTCCCAATTAAACTGTTGATACTATAAATATAGTACACAACTGTCTTAGCAGTGGGGCTTACATCAACATTCTTCTTACAGCTCCTTTCTTTGGCTTTGAGAATCATCAGCCTATTGGCAGCCGCCAAAGAGGCAAACATTTGAGACCATTTCGGGGCATATGGTGTCATCATTTCACTTAGGGGAAGACACATGTCAAGATTACTTTTTTATTGGTTCGATCTCAACCAGATCTTATTTTAAAGGAAGTGTGTTTTGTGTGTTGACTGCTTACAGAATGTGCCGTAGATGACATTTGCTTCATGGTTTTGGAAGAAGTCCTTTTCAAGCTTCTCTATCCATAAATACGTGTGCTTCCACGCTCTTATGCCTGAAATAAATATGATAGCATCTGCGTGGACTGACTCTTCTAAGGCTACATCAAGCTTACTGCTTCTGAGGAGCTCAGAGAGCTGGAGGATTTTTTGCTATGAAATTTAGTTCACCTCTCAAGAGCAAACACCCTTTGTTGCCCAAATCTGAAAGTTTTCCTCTTCTCTTTTTAATGGTTTTCTCTGCCCAAATCTAGGGTACTGACAGTACTCTGTAGAAGGGGTGATATCCTCTTGTCCAACAGGCTATTCAAGTGTCCACAAACCTCAGGGTGAGTGAGCTGTACGTTTCTTGGTATTTCCGCGGTGCAGGCCGACCGCATTTTATTGCACTTCACTTTATTGCGCTTGGCAGATAACGGCATTTTTTTATAAAGCGAAGGTAAGACCCTCCAGCAGCAAAAAGATTATGACCAGCTGAAGACTCCGATGCTGGTTCGCATTTTTTTTTTTTTTAGCAATGAGGTCACTTTTTAAAGTGTGTACATTGGTTTTAAGACACAGTGCTATTGTTACACACTTAATAGACTACACTATAGTGTGAACATAACTTTTCTAAGCACTGGGAAACCAAAGAATTCGTGTGACTTGTGTTATTGTGATATTCACTTCATTGCAGTGGCTTGGAACCAAACCCGCAGTGTCTCTGAGGTCTGCCTGTGCACGCTCGCAGCGTAGTAATCCTTCCATCTCCTCTCCTAGCTAAGCCTTCTCATCTTGGTTACTTCCTATACTTCTGCTTCTTTGGGAAATAGAAAAGCACTTGTACTGAACAACAACAACAAAAATTCAAGTCTGTCATCCCCTTGGTGGGTATATATTCTGAGCAATGGGCATATTTCAGTGACACAGGATGACCTAAGCTTTGGGGTAGTCCTTTGTCTCACCGTCAGAACCACTTTTATTTCAAGAGCAATTTATATCACACTCACGTGTGCATGTGTTTTTCTGCCTTTCCGGGGACGGTGGGTTGATTTGCATATTCCAAAAGAGAGCCTCTGTAGATTCCAAATAATTGTTTTCTTGAATCTTAGTCGAACCCTCTTAGCATTTCCTATCAGGGCCTCCCACCAGTCTATGACTGAAGCTCATTGGTCAGGCAGGTGCCCTTGATCACTCGTGTTCAAATTGTTCTTTTTCTGTCACATTTGTACCTCCCTCCCAACCACTCTGTCCTCTGCTCCAAAGAGGCTGCATAAATAATGCTTTCCACCCAGGGGAGAGAAACAGAATATAGAATCTTCTAAGGTAATAAAGTGTGCAATAAAAGCCCAAGCTGCAGAAGCAAGTGGAACAATAGCAGAGCTCAAAGTAAAGGAAAAAGAGAGGACGGAAACATGACTTCATGTTGTTCTGTTTATTTTTTAATCACTAGCACACGCATTTGCTCTCTTTCAACACTGGGGTAAAATTTTCTTCTTCTTTTTCCCTGGACCGTGTCACCTGCTTTCACACCACCTTCATTTAAGCAGAACAGACCACACTCAAAAATCGCCCACTCTACTTCATGTGATCCGAGAAAACTGACAGCATCCCAGGGTCAGTGAAAGGATTGTGGATTATCAGATGCTTCTGCTGGCAGGGTCCACAGTCTCTTTATTTAAATGTCGCTCAAGAATCGCTTAATATTCCTTCTCACGAGGACTGCCCGTGTTAGTAAATTTAAAAAAAAAGAAAAGAAAAGAAAAAACACAATATACAATAGTTGAATTTGAATTTTAGGTAACAAATATCTTATTAAGTGTAAGTAGGTCCCCAGTCTTCATGGGGTATAATTATCCTGAAAAATTTGAAACTTAAATTTAACTAGTATCTATAGTTCACCTGGCTGCCCAGTGTATTTGTCGTCTGGCACTGTATTTCTAGACTTGAATGTGTTGAGTTGCCGCCCCTGTTTATCCAGCCTGTTCATGATAATTGTCTAAAATCTGTCTGGTTTCTAACAACATGGAGAACCATATTGAGAGAATTCCATTTCCACCTACAGGCTAATCACAACTACACTGGTGTCTTGGCTATGCTGGGTGCCCATCTAGTGAGTCACACTTTTATCTCTTTGTGCTTTTTTACTTGTCTTGTGTGGCCTGGCTGTTCCTAGCTTTATGGGGGCCAGGGGCCAAAACTCTCAACATCACATTCTATTTGGACATTTTACTACCAAAATCCCACTTCGTCAAGGATGTCTCCCCAGCGACTAGTGGAGTAGCCTAGGAGCAATATATACATTTCCCTTTGTTTTATTTTTAAATTTTTTTTAGCTGAGCCATCCTGCCACCTGTTGGCAGCTCGGCGGCAGCTCAGCTCAGGCCGGCCAGGAATCGAACCGGCGACCCTGTTGTTCAGAGCTCGCACTCTTGAGCAAGCTCTTAATCAACTGAGCCACTCAGCTGGCCCTCCGTTTCCCATTTTTAACCTTTGCTGCTCAGTGCCTGGGAAAGTAATCATGAATGCATAAAGAAAGGAAACTCAAATTAACCTTTCGATTATCTATTTTGTACCAGGTCCCTTCTATGATACCTTACTTGGTGGGGTATGTCATAATGTGGAAATAATATGTGTGGTTGTATTTTTCTCTTGGTTCAAGTGTACTGTTTAATGATAGAACAGCCTAAGATGTATATAGCCTTGTATATTAAAAGAGAAAAAAAAATTCTGACTTGAGGTAACAATTACCAATGTGCGTAATAAGATTTATTCTGTTTCTCTTCCTGCTTATAAAATATTTCTATTTCTTTGCAGCAATTTGGTAAAATCTTAGATGTTGAAATTATTTTTAATGAGCGAGGCTCAAAGGTAAGCAACTTAATTCACTTAAGACTTGTTAGCTTATTTTAAAATGCTTGTTACGAATAATGGGAAACAACTGCACTGTTTTAATCAGCACATTGTGAAAATACGCTTCGGTGGGAATTCCATTGGAGACCACCCTCAGTTTCTAAAGCGGTGGGAAACACATTGGGTTCCGTTTAAAATATATAAGGGGGTAATTTAGAATTGCTGTTTTATATCTATTTCTCTCTATATATATCAAGTTTCCGGAGGAAAATTACCCATGCTTAAAAAAATAATGTTGTTGCTACATTTTTGTTTTTCAGTGATAATTATGTTCTTTATATTAAAAACTGAGTTGATAGTCTCATGAGCAGGTAAATATGTGATTATTCTGTATTAATAAAGTGCAGTTATTTTCCTGGGTTGTAGGGGAGAAAATCTCATATACACCAACCTTTTGAATATAGTTTTATTCATTAGTATGTTTACCAATTCACATTTTGCAATTTGCCACTGCTTTGAGCTTGTTTTTTTTTTTCTAGGAAACCAATTTTTAAGTCGATTTTCCTAGAGCTAACAGTGTTAGTAAAATCAGCATTTTGAGCACTTTCAAAATGCAAATATGTTGAGAGGAGGGGAAAAAAAAAAAAAGGCCAAACTCTTCCAAAACGTCCCATGTATCAGGGGTCACCTAATTGCAGTCCCCAGACTGGCTGCATCAGTTTCACCTGGGAATTTACTGGAAATGCAAATTCTCAGGGTCCAGCCCAGATCTATTGCATCAGAGGCTCCGAAACGGGGGCCCAGCCATCTGTTTTAACAAACCTTCCAGGCCTGTCGTTACTAAGCACTACGTCTTATTTTAGGCAGAGCCGGTGCTTCCTCTGGGTGCCAAATGCCCCTTTGCCCATTGGTGTGTTGTGGTTGCTGACATGTCCTCCCTCCCCCTGCACCCACAGAAAGCTCCAGAACCCCATCAGAATCTCCTTTGAGGGGGATAGGGTCTGCGACATAGCAGCAGATACTAGGCGATGACAGAGTGTGATGACGTAAAAAGACGCCTACTGATCTCAGCTCCTGAAAGTGGGCACTTTCTATAACTGCCTTGTTTCCAGAGCACCGCAGCCCGGGTTGGCAGGATCTTTCAGCTCCCTTCTCCTCACATCCTCAGACTGTGAACGTGGATAGTAAGAGAGGCCGCTTACCAGACACAGGGAGATACCGAGTTTAACCCCGTCCCTCTCCTTACACAGGCAATTTGGGGCAAGTCAGTTGTAGTCACCGGTTACTCGGAAGCCCTGGTTTTATCTGAAGCGGCAAGTTTCAGGTAAATCACGTGCTCCCCCGGCAAGCAGACATCTGAATTTATTTTTCTTGAGCAGTCTGTACCTCTCTCTCCTAAGCAGATTTAGTATTAACTGAATAGGATAATGCTGATTGAATTGGGAGAAGAAAATTCTAGCAGTATTCTCTCCTCCACAGCCGAAATGATGTTGGGACATGCCAGATGAATTAAAAAAAAAAAAAAGACATCAGTCCATTATAGTCTCTGGTTCTTCTAGTTCAGGGACCTTGTCATTCTATAATGTCAGATATTTTACCAATCATTCTTGTCATGTCAGTAGTTTGACCTCTAGGCCAGGAGAGAAAAGTGAGCTCTCTTTGTGCTTCTTGTATGAAAATCATTACAGGGACTATTTCTACACCTGTAAAGCCAGGTGCATGAAGACAGAAACATACCCCATCAAATCCGTGTCACTCAGGCCTGATGTGTTCTTGGCGCAATTATAGAAGGCACCCTGGAACGTTGGGCAGCGTTCTGCTAATCTAAGTTGGTAGCACGACTGCTTTAGAAGGTTTTGTTTTTTTCCAAATTTCTATTAATTTACATTTTGTTGTGTAACTTTTGTCAGTTGGAGAAAGCGATGTAATTTCTTGTGAGCACTGTTTTGAGACATTAGAAGAATATCGTTTGCTATTTTGAAAGCATGATGGCAGTGCTATTTTTAAGACTTCTTCCATCATGTCTCTGGGGCTCTAGGAATAAGACCACTTAACTTCGCCTTAGCCAGAGACAGGCTTTGCAAAGTTGCTTTTTTTTTAAATTTGGGAACATCAAAAATAGCCAGTCTTCATGAGTATGCTCCCGTTCCTGTACAGAGCCGGTCCGGCAGGTGCTGGCGCCGACTGTTTAGGCATGACTGGCGTGTCATCGAGACAGTCCATTTGGAAACTGCTCAACGGGGCAATGGCTCACGCAGGGACATTTTTCATATTTGACATCATCCTTTACGGGAAACGGCCTATTTAAAGGAGCATTTCCATTTTAATGACTGAAAAACCTGGACTGTTCTTATGACCTCATTTCTCTCATCTGCCGCTGGAGAGGCAGCCAGGGACTGGGTGGGCCCTTTAGACCTAGGAGCTCGCTTTCTGACCATTCTCTTTGTGGGCAGTCCCAGAGGCAGGCCACTTGATGCTAAGTGAGTATGGCTGTATGCTCTGTGGGTGTTTGGTGTATGTATGTACACCTAAACATATGTACATGTACAGCTTCACATACACAAGCACTATCTAGATTATCCTAGGCATGTGTATCATAAGTCATGCATTCCTGTATGGATAGCAAGCATACGAGGAAATCACATTTGAAAAAGAGACGCCCAGCTTTGAAAATGAAAACAAGCTAGCATTTAGGGGTGAGAGAGCCTAGCATTCGTTTTTCCTGGTTAGCAGATTTAAAAACATTTTTGTTTAGCTCTGAAGCGTTTTATTTCAGGGACATGGCCAGATATAGCTTCTTCTTAATATACCTGGGAAATACATGGTGTGCCCTTGGATTCCAGAGAGATCTGTAGGTATGGTTACATTCCAGGCACGAGGCAGGCGAATCAACGGTGAGCGAGGCAGGAGACAGGCGTCCCATCATCCTCAGAGATTTCTGCGAGTAACAGGAAAGTCAGACCATGATGACAGACTACCGCAATACAGCCTGCCACGTTCTGTGGTGAACGACAGGGTGCCGAGATTCCAAGCGGCAGGCCCGTGTTGGTAGAAGGTGGGAGGCCGCCTGGGAGGAAGGGGGCATGTAAGCTGAGTGGGGAAGATGGGTCAGACTTTCTCAGGGAAGGGAAGGAGGGAAGATGTCCTTCCAAAGGGGAGGGACCCACATGCGCAAAGCTCATTGAGAAGAAGGGAGTGTGGAGCCCCACAGGAAATGCACCTGCAAACTGTGATCCACAGCTCCCCTCTGGTCAACAGCAATTCCCTGCAACAGACGCTGGAGGGATTGGATTTTCACACAAGATGAAAAGTCATTGCACTCACCCATCCTGGGGGCTCCAGAGCCTTTATTTCGGATATAAAATGCATTTGCATTCATACAAAAAAAAAGAAAGCTATCGCCTACAGATACTACAAGACCATATTAGATAAACAAGAAAGTCAGAATTCATGACTCACAAAATCATTCTGAAATAATCAAGTCATGGGTGTCCGGCAGTCTGTGTGAAGACCACAGTTATCTGGCCCATGGCTCATGCCTTCCTATCATGGGGTGGCACATGTCACGGGCCGTCTTCTGCAGCAGTGCTATGCCTTCTTCCTGGAGCCCCGCATACACACTTGATCTTTAAGGGGTTACAGTCATCATTGCCCTGAGTTCCTGTACTCCCCAGGCAGGCCCAGAATGTGCTTCTTTAGTTCTCCTTTTTAAGATTTAGAAAAATATTCAGGATATATTTTTTAATAACTGCAAAACGCTGTTTCCTTGAGGTGGAATTCTGACTATGAGGCAGGTTGAAAGAAATGACCTCAGCATCAGCTTTCGATGTTGCCTGACACCTGTGCTTGATGGAGAGGGTACCTGAAAATGTCTAGGTGACGGTCTCTCTGGTGATGGTGTAGTTCCCCAGATGAGCATTGCGGCAATCTCCTGACCCAGGTGGTCATGCCACTTCTTGCCCAAGTTGGAGGCGTGATTGTGCATTGGAACAATCACAAAAAAGTGTGATTGGGTATTTAGGGGACCGTTTCTGGACTCTTCATGAACCCAACTTTGCAAAATCTCCACTAGTTAATCTCAGCAGCTCGAGTTGAGAAGTGTTGAGTAGCTCCAAGAAAAGAGAGACGTTTAGCAGAAAATAATGAGAGTAGGAATAATCATAAAATGAATCAATACGATCTTTACTTCAAAACAAAGCGAGAACTTGAGAATGGAACGGAGTTCTTCCTTTTGTAGTTTATGAACTTCCGCTGGGATTCAGACTGTTTCCAGCTCCACCTACATCTCTTCCTGACATGCGCAATGGGTTCAGACCAGAATCGTGATGACTTGGTTCTTTGGGATGGTGCGGGTTGAATGTTTGGTGAGACCCGGCTACGTTCTTGCCAGCACCGTGGAAATGACTGCTGGCGCCCACACATACTGGCGATGCCATTGCTGACTTGGGCTGTGGGTTTTCTTTCCTTGCCTAGTGAGAGACTTGCTCCGGATGCAGCCAGAATCCTAGTTTCCCTTATTGCTTATTAAATAGATGGTATGACAGTCAGTTCTAGGGAATCGGCTTAGAGGTGAGGAAGAGAACATTGTTATGTGATTTTGGCAGTACCCCTACGTCTAAGATCCAAATAACTATGTCAGATAGATAGTCACTTCAAAAACTCACAGGACTCCAATCGGTTGCTCTGTTGAAGCAGGTAATATGATATTCTACGTCCTACGAAGAACCATCTTTCGATGGTGCTTAGCACGATGACAGGCTGTGGGAGTCCGTGGCTTTTCCAGCAAACAGACTTATGGGTTCCACTCGGGAACTCTGATCTGGTTCCTGTGTAGCAGGGCTTGGGAATGCTCCCAATTCCCTCTGATGTGCAACTGAGTTTGAGACCCACTGGGCAAGAGTCAGAGCCATCCGATAGAGCCACCCCGCCCAATTATGTCATCAAAGAACTATTATTTCAAAACTGTCGCGTTAGCAAGTGTATCAAGTGTATGTGTCTACCTAATGTGGGCATCCCACCTCAACAGGGCCCTTATGTGATGGTGCATATAATCTTATATTAATCCAATAATTCAGACCCGTCCTCATCACAGACCCTCACTGTGGGAAATATTATGAAAGGTAATTTGGTCCAACCCCACAAAGTAAAGAAATTAATTTTTGCTTTCTTTGTAGAATCCCATCAAATAATCATCTGCGCTAGCTTGGATCCATCCACAGCTGTTGTGCTTTATTGAGGAGCCCATGTGAACATTGGAAATTGTCTCGTAGGCAGACCATTGGGCATACCTCTGAAATACCCCGAGCTTTGGGGAACACTTTATGTCCTAGTGAGTGACTGGAGTTTAACATTAGTTGGTTACGACTACCTGTTACTCGTAATTGCTGTCTATTTTATTGGTTAACTAGAATATCCTACGGCCCCAACTAAGCTTTAAAGCCAACATTTACCTTTATGAAAAGTTCAGCCATCTCAACACATACAATGATTTCACCCAGTTTACACTATGAAAGCCAGAACAAGCTGAGCAAATTTACACTGGAATTGTTTCAAAAGGTTGGTGTATGTTTCTGAACAAGATGTACACGTATTTTTAGGGGTTTTAAAAATAATGTGTCATATTTTCTGTACTCTTCTTAGGAACAGTGTCAGTGAAGGAAAAAAAGATGGATTTTGACAATGTGGCATTTAGTGGGATGGTTTTTTTGAGGCTGACATATTAAAACAAATTATGCCAGTGGTGAAGCCAGGGTTTTATGTGTTATCTATCAGTGATAGAGGAAATGCACAGTGTTAATGTAAATAACGTTCTATTGCCAAAGCTTCTTTATTTTCTACCTGTTGATAGGACAAATGAATGCCCACATAATGTCTTAGAACTTTATAATATGTTTACTCATTTCCCTTTTGGTTAATCAAGTAGTCTAGAAAGGTGACAAATTCAGAAGCATGTATGTTATTTTTTACTGGGGGAGGGAGAAGAATCAACACAAGAAAGTTACTTGAACTGTTTGCATTCCTGATCAATTGATGTTTATTTCTATTCATTTCATGTGATTATTTTCTTAGATCAGAGTTTAAGCTTTATTATGAAAAAAAGGTCTTTCCTTTTTTGTAGGCTTCTGATTTTTATTTTTTGAGAAGTAAAGGCTATAGAATTGATAAATTTGAATAACCCTAAAACTGCATGAAGAAGAGATGTTCTTACAACCACACGGCATGACTCTGTAGGCAATGTTAGAAGATTTTGGCATTCATTGTTGAATTTCGTGCACACGTTTTATTTTCTTTTATTCTTAATTTGCATGTCAAGAAAGTGGTTCCCTTTTTTTTTTCCTCGTTATTTCATTTTACTCTCTGTGAAGACACTGTAAATTTATTTTGATCTCATTTTCTTTCCATTAGATTTATTTTCTTCTGTAGTGACATTTAGAAAGGTATTTTGGGTATCATTCTTTGAATTCTCCAGGGGTTACAGCTAACTGGTGACAGAGAAAAATATATATCTTGTTCACATTTGTTGCTTACTGATCGCACATCTTAGTACTCTTATAATTTCTCTAATTTGCATGTTACAGAACGGAAGCCAGGACAAGACATAGAAATTAAAGCGAGAGAACGTTACACAGTGGTCGTTGACTGAAATAATAATCTGCATGTTGTTTTCCCTTCTCCCTCCTGCATGCAGGGATTTGGTTTCGTAACTTTCGAAAATAGTGCCGATGCGGACAGGGCGAGGGAGAAATTACACGGCACCGTGGTAGAGGGCCGTAAAATCGAGGTGCATGTTCAAAATATTTTCCTTTACATCTTTTTTATAAATGTCTGCTTCACGCTCATTTGTTGTTTCAGATGCATCATTGTGTCTTGTATGTGACCCTATTATTCCCTTCTCATTGTTTATATATATATATATATTTATATATAAAAAGGAAAACTGGCCTTACTTTTTTTTTTTTTCTTCAAATTTTGCGTTACTATGTTACTCTTATTACTGTTGAAAGGTGGATGGCAAATGTGAGATAACATTAAGGTTAATCTGAGAGGTTTTTATTTTATTTTATTTTATTTTTAATTTATTTTCCATGATTTAGAGTCAATGGGTGCACTAGTTTCCAAACAGTGGAGAGAGTGTTGCAAAACAAAAGAAAATATAGAGCAGTTTCTTTTTTTTTCTTTTCTTTTTCTTTCGACTGCAGGGTTGATGAGGGATCCACAGTGGTGTGCAAATTAAGCCAAATTGTGAAAGAAATAGCATTTGAAAGAACAATTGTGTTGTTTTTTAAAAAAAAAAAAAGAGAGGTGTTTGTCCTTAAACCTTTGATTTTTATTTTTTATTATTATTTTTTTTTAAGAAGCCAGTTTGAACCTTTGTATTCTTTTGGTAATAAAGTGAATAACCAGACAGGGTTTTCTGTTCAAAATCTGGCCCCTCTTCATCTATAAAATTAATGCTAAAATTCTGATATTCAGAATCACCTCTTTCTATCACTGGATCTCCATCAACGTGGCCACAGGGTCGTGTTTGCTAAAACTTTAAAAAAAAAAAAACCAGTTACAAATGCTTTAGTCTTTGGAGTAAGATGTTGCATATTTTGCCTTTTATTCTCCCCCCCTCGACGATAACGCTTAGGCCCCTCACCAAACTCTCAGTAACCATGGTAACTGTATACAAACCCATGCTGGCGGTGGTGGTGAATGGTAAGTGGTGAAGTCCATCTGCCGTTACACGTATTTAGTGCTGATATATCTATATACATATATATATACCACGTGAATTTTTTTGACTTGTTGTATTAAGTTTTCTTGATGCTCTATTTTTTTGGATATTGGTACGCCTGTAATTGAGTGTACGTTCTAAGCTAGCCTGGGAGGCACTGACTGGATTGAGATATGACCGGTGCACACCTTACTCCGATCGTTGACTCCATATTGTGTTAAACAATGCACCCTCTCTTTTATCCTTTTGTTAGCTGTGACTTTAAAGCTTGAATGATTTTGTTAATTCTTGCGATGTACAAGGCTCTTGTTCCGAGTGATGAATGCTAGATGTTGCTTTTTCCGATGGTCCTTCCCTCCTAAAGTGTTGCACACGGCTAAAACTTGTTTGTCCCTTTCTATGACATTTCTGTTCCCTTGTACTTTGTCTCTCCCCTCTCCCTCCTCCACTGCATGTTCCTTCATATGAACTTTATTTTATGTTACAAAAATATTGTTTCTGTGTTACCATGGAGTACACGCATGCCTTTAGATCTTCAATTATGCAGTTCCTTTTCATTTGCTTTTACTGTCTCCTTATTAAACTTTTAAATGATATGACATTGCTTTATTGAAATGATTTGTAAGTTAAAATGGTTATGATGTAAATGTAATTATAAAGATGTATGATTTTGTTATGCACCTACTGCCTTTTATAAATTAAAATGCATTTTAGTTTTTTGTTTTTGTTTTTGTTTTTGTTTTTTAATAAGTAATCACAGTCATAATGCATGCGACTAATTGAACTGTATGCTGGCCTCGGAGTACATGTTCATTTGGGTTTTCTATGTACATAGGTAAACAATGCCACAGCACGTGTAATGACAAATAAAAAGACTGTCAACCCTTATACCAATGGTAAGTACACATCGGCCTTTTACGTGAAATCACCCCTCCCTCTGAACCTGTTAAGTAATTTAACTAGGCAGTCTGTTTCAACAAGCCATATTTGCCTCTGCTTGGCGGCTGCATCCTTACTGCTGACCTGCTACAGGGAACCACCTCAGTCAATGAAATAAGTTTTACAACAGAGGTTAGCTATGCGTACCCTTCTTCCAGACTCTCTAGGATAACGCCCACTTGGGGGTGAGGTACAGTAGTTATTTGGGAATAAGGTGGGTAACTTAATTTGTTGTCTTGCTTGTAAGTTGAGGGAGGATGGCGGTTTTGTTGGGTTGGTTTAAGAACCACCTCTCCCTCGATCAGTAATCGTTCCTGGATGTGTGACTGCAGACCTTGGTCCTGGCTTTGAGGCTCCTCTGGAGTTATTAGGCTTTTGATGTTATTAGGCTTGGAGGGAGCCACGTGACACGTTCCATAGTGAGACCAAAGTGGGTGAGAGTATTATTTGCTTGTCCCCGACATTCCCAGGGCTATTTGGTCCAGGTGAGGATGTGGCTGTGTGTGACAGGCCCCTCAGGACAAACGCATTTCTGCCCTAACTAACCAAGAAGACATCTTGACACTCCTCATATTAAGAATTCACTTATATATGGAGAGACATTAAAAATGTTCAAACATTTTGATTCTTTAATCCTCCTCAGGGTAAATCTCTCCTAAGATATATAGGGAGAGAAGCTGCTGATATGCTAATCACATGCTTAATTGTACCCAAAATTAGGAAGACAGTAACGTAACAAGATATATGTGCTTAGTGGAATATTATACCCATTAAAATGAGCAGGATGAAGACTAAAAGGGCCCCATAATGAGTGAAAATTTTTTGAATAAAAGATTATATAGATAGCATGATTTGAACTAAACTATAATGGGAATTACACCAAGATGTTAATGGTTGAGTTGAATTGTGAGACTGAAATATATTTTTTCTTTGTTTTATAGGCTTTTAAGAATAATATTTTATTACTGTCATAGGGAAAATGTATGGAATTTTCCATTTTTAACATTTTAATTGCACATGAAACATGGAAATACATGTTCATTTTAAAAGAAGAAAGAAATATTAAAGAAAAGGCTAAAGTATACTTTGAAGAACACCACGGCCAACTTGGTTTCTAATCTCCCTCTTCAGAGGATGCCCCTATTACAGATTATTTTCTAGACCAGGGGTCGGCAAACGTTTGAGACGGAAGAGCCGCCAGGGGTCAGCAAACTGCGGCTCACGAGCCACAGGCTCTGAAGTAAAATTGAAAATGAAAATAAAGCTATCATAGTTTCATTTATAAAATTGTTAAAGGATATTATTCACATAATGGTGATTATGTAAAAATATATTTATGGCTTTCAAATAATGTTTAAATTGTTGTGAGGGACAGGATTGACTTTTCCAGAGGTTGGCAAACTTTTGAGATGAAACTTACCCAAAGAACCGCATGGGACTCGCGAGACACAGTTTGCCCACCCCTGGTCTAGACCTTTATTTTGCATTTTCTTGTATGTTATATGGAGTAAGCATATATTTACACCATTCACAGTATCGTGTACATGCTTTTTATAGAAATGGCATTATGGCATACATATCATTTTTAAGTGGCTCTTAAAAATCAGTATGGAGTTCTTTCAATGTTAATACATACAGACCATATTCATTCTTTTTAGTGGTTGCATAATATTCCATGAAATGGATATATGGCTTTATTCCAACCTCCCATTCTGATTAATATTTAAGGTTTTTTTGGTGTTACAATCATTAGTATTAGCATTGGGTAGCTTTATTCTTTTTCTTCTTTCTTGTGCCAGTTGCTACCAATTTGGCTAAGTCGGTTCTTATTTTTTATTTTTTATTTTTTTAAAGATTTTATTGGGGAATTGGGGAAGGGGAACAGCCAAGTTGTTGTCCTTCAATCTTAGTTGTGGGGGCACAGCCCACCATCCCATGTGGGATTCAAACCAGCAACCTTGTTGATAGGAGCACGTGCTCTCACCAGCTGAGCCATCCTGCCGCCTGTTGGCAGCTCCGTGACAACTCAGTTGAGGCGCAGCTCACTGGCCCATGTGGGACTCGAACCAGCGATCCTGTTGCTCAGAGCTCACGCTCTTAACCAGCTGAGCCACTCGGCCAGCCCTCAGTTCTTATTTTTAAAAGGGGCATCATTAAATAGAGATATACCCTCAATATGATAGGCCTCTAAGGTGAAGGACCAGGAGAGTGATGTGTTCTGCTGATGCGTTATCCCAGCTCCAGCAACCCAAAGCATATTCTTCGATGGAAGAGAAAGTGTGCCCAACAGCCTTTGAATACCCAGTGCTGACACGAAGCCACCTCTGATTTGTGCCGTGAAGCCCTTCTATTTGGGTGGAAAAGATGGTTCTGCAACTTGCCAGAGTTAATACATGAGGACATCAGCCTGACTGACTGTTGGGCATTTTTAAAAATTATGAAGTAGTTAAGTGTGTGTGTGCACATGTGCATGTTTCCTTGCAGAGGCATAAGTGCTCATGTGTATGATGTGTGTGAGAAAATGACGGGAGCCAAGTGTTATTCCTTCAGCCATCTGTATACATATTTATTTTAAAGAGTTACGGATCAATGTCGTACCCAGTGGCTGAAAACTGGACCTGTGGGACTTGTGCACACAATTTAAAGCCCATTTATTAACAGCCAACATTTCTGGAGTGCTGCCTCATGGCATTATGTTAAGTATATTAAATGCACTGGGTTTCCCCACCCCCCAAAATAAAAATTGAAAATTAAGTTGGCAGTCAAAAAAATTAAAAATAAATAAATGCGGGGCCGGCCGAGTGCCTCAGTCTGTTAAGAGCTCACGCAAGAGGGCGAGCCCTGAGTCACAGCGGTTCGATTCCCAGCCCGAGCTGAGCTGCCGCTGAGCTGCCAACAGGTGGCAGGATGGCTCAGCTAAAAATAAATAAATAAATAAATAAATAAATAAATAAATAAATAAATAAATAAGAGATAAATGCAATGGCCTACATGAAGTCTTATAAAGAGGACACAGTTATCCCCATTTTAAAGATGTGAATACCGAGGCTAGACAAGACAAAGTGCTTAGTGAAGACTTTTTCTTTTACTCTGAAGTGACAGGAACTTCTGGCCCTGCCTGTGTGTGTGTGAGTGCATCACTTTCCCCCGTTGTCTTACAGAACTGCACTCAAATGGCAACCGGCTGCAATAGCAAAAGGATTGTTAGATGTAGACCCCAAATTCCTGCCAGATGTTGGCACAAACATTGCACAGCCATGCATTCTTAGTTTCCAGGAATAAGTTATATAGGTCCCTTATCCATATCCCTGGAAGGGGGCACTCAGACCCTTATCCTGTCACACGGACCGGGGCGGGGGGGGAGGTCAATGAGTTGCATTTACTGTAACTAACAGGTCGATGGACAGTCACAGTAGAGCTGACTTAAAAAATTCAGTGCAAATCCTAGTTACATAAAGACAATTGGCTCTTCTAGAGGAGATCGTGGAGAGTGGGTGTTCAAAGAAAAGCAGTTCTCAAAGCTTTTCCAGTCTTTAGTTCATGAGTATCATCACTACAAAGAAATTCTCCCATAAATTGCAATACAGCGTAACCAAAAATACACAGGGGCACACTCAGGTCCTTAAAAAGAATGATTATGTTAAGAGGGGTATATTATCACCAGAAGAAAAAAGAAAGTTGTAACTATGTGAGATGATGGATATGTTAATTAGCTTGACTGTGGCAAATATTTTACGAAGTATATGTATATCAAATTAACAAGTTGTATACCTTAAATATATACAAATTTTGGTTGTCAGTTATGCCTCAAAAAAGCTAGAAAGAAAAAAAAAAAGATAAGTCAGGACCAATGAAGTCACAATGAAATGAGAAAATTAAGTGATCAGTGAGTTTCATTAGCTACCTAATTCGCTCTCACAAGCCATCGAACTTAAATGCTTCAGCAAAATTATCCATTACTAGAGTCATCACATTTTGAGGTCACCTGCAAGTGGTGAAATATAAACACCAGTGCCAACATCACAGCCATGAATCCCTTCAATCATGTATCCAGCAAAATTTTGAGCAGCTGCCAAGTTTCCAGTGATTAATAAGACTGGACCCTAAATGCAATAAGACACGTGACTAGGAGGCTGCACTATAGAGGACCACACTCGGTACTGTCATGGAGGGTATGGGTTCTGTTTCTGAGGACCTTTGAACTTGGATATGAAAAAAGACTGTAGAAGGATGTATAGGGGTCTGGAAACCCATCCATCAGAAAGTTCCACGAAGGGCCGGCCGAGTGGCTCAGTTGGTTAAGAGCTCGCTCAAGAGTTTGAGCTCTGAGCAACAACGGTTCGAGTCCCAGCCCGAGCTGAGCAGCCGCTGCGCTGCCAACAGGTGGCAGGATGGCTCAGCTTAAAAAAAAAAAAAAAGGAAAGTTCCATGAAGAGAGCATTGGGCTGCTTCTGTGTGGCTGGCTTTTCCCGAGGACACCAACTCTCAGAGAGAAGTTGGGGTTTGCTGTGATTGTTGGCGATCAAGTGTTTGCTCTGCAAAAACGCTTGAGAGCCAGACTCTCAGGGATTTTCCTGGGTGCTGGAGAAGCGTGGGTGTGGGGTGGAATACTTTTATTTTCTTAGAGATCTTCGGAAAGATGAAACTGAACCAAAAGATTCAAGACTAGAGAGAGAGGTGGATGTGGTGTCAGCTCTGACTTTCTCTGGCTATTGAATGGAAGGCGAGTCATTTAAATTCTCCACACTCCAGTTTTCTCAAGGGAGAGTTATACAAATAATGGACCTACTACACAGGGTATTTGTGGGACTATTATGGGAGCTAAGTACTCAACACAGTGTCAAGATACAAAGAGCCCAAAAAATTTAATTACACAATAATCTCAAATAATGTAGCCATCTTGTGCTTTTTTTTTTTTTCTACAGGTAGTACGTTGTCTTTTCTGACAGACATACTGGTTTAAGGATCAGCTATTCAGATGCCAGCAGAGGCTGGACAAGTATAATAAATGGGCAAACAGAGCAGCTGACAAACTCAGTCTTTTTAGTCGCTTTTCATTTTCATATTGGGAAAAGCAAGATATTTCTCTACTAGAAGAAAAAACAGCCTAGGGTAACAATAAAAGATTTCTGACATTTGGCCTCCGAGCCAAGCTCACTGTAGGGAGTCGTGGTGACTGTGGCTAATGGGGCGGGGGGGGCGGAGTTTAGTGGAGGGGGCGTTCCCTGGTCACCTCCAGAAAAATTGGTCCATGGGTAGTTCTTAATCTAAAGTCACCATTTATACTCATGTCCCAAGAGAACCAGAAACCTTGTATTTTAGATGAAATCTACACGTTGACAATGACTAAGGTGGCAAAAGAAAAAGGAAGAAAAAACTCAGTGAACCAAACTGAAAAAGTTAACAACGTGCTGCTAACTTTTCCTTTGGGACATTGCCTTGTGCACCGTTTCAGCTACCACGTCCCTGGCAGCCTCACATGTCTTTGGGAAGCACTGGGCATTGGTGTTCAGTGTTGGAACCCCCTGGGATATGTTTAAGGGTACTTTCTTTAGTGTGTGTCTTTGATAGCTAACGCAGTTAAAGCCGGAGAAAAGGCATGCGCGGATTTTGTATGTGTGCATATCAGACGCGCCTTTAACACCTAATAGAGCCGCGGAGGGAAGACCAGGGACGTTGGCCAGCATTTTTACAGAAGCTGGCAGATGACCTTTGAGCAGCTAAATTTGAGGATGGAACCATTAATTTAGATGCAGCCCCTCCAGGCCTGGCCACGGAGGGGTCTCTTGAAACAGCTCCTGCGTCTAATACGGAGCGAGACCCCCACGAGTCTGGTCTGTGCTCCACTGCCTTGTTGTGTGGGGGGCCCTGGGAAGCTGGGAGCGGTAGGCTTTATCAGCTGTTCTCCTTTTGTTTGTAAGCCTCATTGTTTGGTTTAATGTCCTTGATCAAAATCTGTGAATTTGCAAGGCCCGGGGATGTACACAAACTGCCTGAGAAATTAAAACCAGGATCGTGGTGTCCGTTTTTCTGACAATGCAGGCTCTTGACTCCAGCCGGGTTATCCCAAGGATCTCTTCCAGGTACTAGATGGAGTCACAGGGACTAGGAGACCATTTGCATGTGATTTGCATACATTTACATAAGCCTGCAGGAGCTCTAAGTCTGAGCAGGGTGATTTGCAAGGGCTGGATACTTATCGTCTTTCTCTTGAAGACAGTATCCCTAACAGGATCCTTCTTTATTAGATGTAGATCAGAAAGCAGGTCATCGGAGGGTGGAGGAGATAGAATCCTAGCCAAAAGGGAATGAGTGAGTCCATTAGCAAAAGCTTTATATTCCTTCAGTTACTTTAGAGCAAAAAGAAGTAAATATTTGTAGAGCACCAACTGTTTGCCAAATGCGGTTTTAGATGCTGGGAATTCACATCGGATCGCAGTACTACTCACTTTACCATTAATTTTAATGAAGGAGATGGTGATAAAAACAATTAAGAACAAGCACAGAACAAAAAATGATTAAGCAGGTAGTGTGAACAGCTATACAGGACACAAAACTGGGAATTGAAGCAGAGAGTAGCTCTAAGAAGGCGCGGGGTAGTGGCGTTAAGTCGTTTCCCCTGGGAAGACATTGGGGACCTAAATAAGATCAGGTCAACTTTGTCAAGAGCTAATTTATCAGTCTATTGACCGAGAGATAGATGGTAGGTGGTAGATGAGGAAGAGAGAGAGATTCGATAGATAGATGATATTGGGTCGGTGGGAAAGTCATGACGTATTTTTCTATGTTTTTCAATGCAAAAATGCGTCATGACTTTCCCGACGACCTAATAGATGATAGATAGATAGATAGATAGATAGATAGATAGTAGGTAGGTAGATAGATAGATGATAGATAGGAAAAAGGTTACTTGGCCCAAGGAAATGAGGAAGATAACAGCAGATAAGAGAAGCATGATTTCTAGGCCATCTTCAATACCTCTGAAAAATCTGTGTCTTTGAGAAAATGAAGACCATTGGCATAACTTAAAATCTTTAATTACATCAGAATTAATTGATGGGTCCACATTCAGTGAGTGGTGTGTTCCAGCCTTGTGTGCAAATAGAAGAATGTAGGGGAGTTAATAAGGATGTATACAAGAAACAAAACCCTACTTAAGTAGTGTTAAAAAAACCCCATCTCTGCTACCCATAAAAGGTAGGCCCTAAGCAGGGTGTTAGATAGGGAAGAGAGAGAAGGAGTAATAAACTAAATTAATTATTCATTTACTATAGCTCCATATAGATTTCTTTCACAAACTCTAGATTTCTATGAAGGGCTGGAAACAGAATGTTAAATAGGTTCAGATCACCCTGAAGCTTTTTTTTTCCAACCAGTTTGCTCTATTTTCTCTTAGAATTCAAATAACTTGAAATGTGGACATTAGCTCCCAGTGGTTAGGAATTGGAATTGGGTATTTTCTTATTTGAGAAGCAGTGGATTTCCAGTCGGTTAAATTGAAGTCATTTTCCACATTCAGAGAACACATATTCTGAAATGTTTGGGGTAATAGTTATTCTTTTGTATCACTATAGAAATTCCTATAAGAACAAGATGTGGTTAATAAAAGAGAAGACGTTGTCAGTATGAAGTTTTAGAAATTTTCAGACTTTCATGTCTCTTTCTATAGGTCTAAAGTATGGCTTGGGCTTTCTCATCTACAAGCCTCCCAAAGTGATCCAGTGATAATAACGCTTTGAAAACCCCATGCCAAGAACAGCCTGGGTGCTAGCTGGAAACCAGCTAGCTTATTCAGTTTGGAACTGAATGTTCTTAGAAACAAAACATTGTTAGAATGTTCTAGAAAGTTCTTAGGTCTATCCAGGGGCATATCTATTACGATATTCAGTCTTCCTTAGTGGATCAGTAGATTGTGATCACCTCTCAGCTAGTCTTATAGGCAAATCACTTAGGTCAGACAACAGGATGTCAGAGCTCTCACTTCTGGGAAGAGCTCAAGAGATTTCTCCTTGTCAGAAATACCTTCACTCATGTCTCAATGTTCACAATTGCCTTTTCTCAGAAGGACTTCCAGCCCAAGGACACAAGGTTTTCCACGAAAGGCAGCACACCTGCCTTTCAGGAATTCTATGTAATGGATGTTTTCATAAAGATAGGCCAGCAGGAGCAGGAGATGGTCACCGAACCCTAAAAACACAACCCGTCTTCAGATACTGATCCAGAAATAATGCCCTAACGTGGGCAGCTTCTTCGGATCTGCAGATATTCTTCTTTGCTCTTTTCTTGTGTAAAAGTTTCTGAAGGTCCAAGATGCATTTTACAGAAAATCCTCCATCTAGAACATTTGGAAAATTACAGGATTCTGTTTATCTTATGTGCAGGTTGTTTGATTAAGAATTGTTATGGTTCCTGGCAGCACTGAAATGTATTCCACACTTATTCTCTACTGGTTAAATGTCATTTTCTTTGAGATTTAAAAAGCACTTTGGAATTCTGTAGCGTCTCCAGGTCATAATTAGGAATGACAATTATCAGAATATGTTGCTGCAAAGAAGTCTATTCATGCGACCTTTCAGATTTTTGCAATCTTAACACAACGGGACATGTGATGGATTATTTAGCAGTGACCCATGAAAGATGACAAAAAAATAGAAATTATTATAGGTGGCTCTAGAAAATATTGATACGGGAGAAAATTAATTACATCATTTTCCAAAGGTTCACCTGTAGCCGGTCAGTGGTTTCCACACTATTGTATTGGAAGAAAATCAAAGAAGGGAGTAAATCTATTTTCCTGTGTATGGTTTTCAAATATTTGTAATGCATGCCCTAACTGTATATCCTCTGAATCTTAAAATAAAAACCCATTAGCGTTGCGGTTAACTTGCGATCATATTAGCTGTTAACGCAAAGGTGCTAATACTGTTTTTGTATATTTGTTTTAAGGCTGGAAGTTGAATCCAGTCGTAGGTGCAGTCTACAGTCCCGAATTCTATGCAGGTAAAAACTTTCTCTTTGCATGATGTCTCCCCCTATCTGTGCTTTGCCTGCCGATAAAGAACGGGTTCATCAAAACATCTGAACCAAGTCAATCCGTATCCTAAGAAGTTCTGAATGATTTTTTTGCTTTTTTTGGCAAAACCAAAAGTGTTTTAAAAAAATTAACCCTTTAAAAAATTAAGAGGAATCATGTCAGTTGCACTGTGCAGTAATCATGGAGACTCTGCGCCTTACGACATTTCTCATTGATTTTGCCTTAAAAAAAAGCATTGAGACTTTGCTTAAGAGCATACTGAACAAATGTGGAGCTGTCCACGCCCATTTTTGTTCACTATGCCTGGATGTGACTTTTCTGAGCCATACATTTCCATTTTGGGGTGCGTTTGTTTGTTTGTTTTTCCTGGCAAAGCAGAGAACTGGATTGCTTATTCCAAGAATGTGGCAGTGAGTTGAAACTGCCTGCAGAAGGACTAGCTAGAAAATCGGAAAACACTAAGCTGTCTTTCTTTCTCCACTAATCAATTTCTGTTAGAAATTCCATTTCTCCCTGCTTTGCCTTCAAAGATGTACCTCTCTCTTCAGCCCTTCTCTGCCTACCCCCCAATTACCACTCAATTGGGAAACCCACTACCGCAGAAAACTTGCTTGTCAAGTTTGGGGAGAGAGTAACCCAGAGCACCAGCGGCTGAGCGTTTTCCTCGGCCGGGGCTGCCACTTCCGCCTCTGGTGGCCTTGCTCGTTCGCCAGGCTGCGTTTGCCACCTGGGAACCTAAGTAGATTTGCCTCATTGGTGTTGGAAAGAAGTCCTTCTTTGATGTGGCCCTTGTTTTTGAATAAGGAGACATCAATAACCAATTGGTCTAGGTACACTCACTTAGCGATTTCTTGATGGTAAGTCATGGCCCTTTGCTTTGTCCCTCCTGGGAGGCCTCATTACTGTCATTGTCCTGGCGCTAAGCATCCACCCTAGTGGATGCCAAAGGAATGTGGGAAACTTCGACAGCTATTTTAGCACATCAACCAACTTGACTTACAAAAAAGGGGGTGGCGGGGGGTGGGGGGTGTTGTAAATCTGGGAAGGCCCAACACGAGTTCTGGATTTTAGGCACCCAAAGTCTGCAGTTGTTGTTCATGTGTGAAGTTTACCACAAGCCTGGGTTAAGTCCAGGGACTCTATGACTGTGAACTAGCTGTGCTGACTCTTATGAGGAAGGAGAGGCTTAGCGATAGGCCTTCCCACGATCATATGGTGGAGGAGTGTGCAACGTGGACACTGCACCCAGACAGCCTGCGTTCCAATCCTGGCTCCCCGCTTGCTAGCTGTGTGACTCCAGGCAAGTTACTTAACCTCTCTGTGCCTCAGTGTCTTTAACTGTTAAATGCGAGATGATAATAGTAACGAAATCGCAGGTATTTATAAGGACGGCATGGGTTAATATATGAAGAGTGTTCAGTGCATAGCCAACACCATATAAACCCTGGGTAAATAAAGATTAATAAGCTCATATTCTACCTCTTTGCCATAGTGGGGACAGGTTAACTGAGAGTTGATGCTGCTGAAATCTGAGTGGACCACTAGACTAAGACTCTTTTTATCTCATGGGAGGACTAGTCCTTCCGTTCTCAGCATGCCCATTTCAAGAAAGGTAATTTCTGGGGTCAGGGGTAAGGCAGTCCAGTCTGTTCAGGGTGGCACAGACATTGCTAGGGTGCGTCCTGGTCCCAGGTGCAAAAAAATGAAACTGCCCAAAGGTGCAAGGATGCAGTCTGACAGCAGGTTGTGTGCACATGCAGGTGCTGCCCACGGAAATGGATTAAAGAGGCGGCAGCGCCATGTGTATATGTGTGTGTGTGTGTGTGTGTGTGTGTGTGTGTGCATGCGTGCGCGTGCCTAGCTGCACGTAATCCCCCAAAGCCATGGGGTTAAGAACACGAAGCAAGATGTCGTTTGATGAGGAGGCAGGGTGTCGATTCATGCGTTGTCAGAGAAAGTGCGTTTTTCTGGTCCCTTGCAAAGTAGTCGGCCATTTTTGTCTCCAGCAACCAGGAAAATACCAAATATCTTTTTTTACATGTGATTTCAAACCTAGATGCATGTCTGTGTATAGTTAAGAGGGCCTTAAGGCAGAGAATCAATTCAAACTGACAAGAATAAATTAATCTGCGTAACTTTTAGAGCATCAGAGCAGCCATTCAAATCAGCCCTGGGCCTACCCTCAGAAGTTAGATCATTAGATTCAAAACACTAATTTGGAAAGACATATCACCCCTATGTTCATTGCAGCATTATTTACAATGGCCAAGCTATGGAAGCAGCCTAAGTGTCCATCAATAGACAAATGGATAAAAAGGATGTGGTACATATATACAATGGAATACTACTTGGCCATGAAAAAAGAAGGAACTCTTACAATCTGCAGCAACATGGATGGACCTAGAGGGAATTATGCTGAGTGCAATGAGTTAGACAGATGCAACGTGATTTCGCTTACATGTGGCATCTAAAGGACAAAATACACGAGCAAACAAAACAGAAACAGACTCATAGATCCAGGGAACAAGCTGATGGTTGCCCGATGGAAGGGGGTTTGGAGGGCGGAGTGAAAAAAAGTGTAGAGATGAAGAAGTACAAATTCATAGTTAGAAGATAGTCACAGGAATGTCAATAACATGGTAGTAACTATGTATGGTGCCGGGTGGGTACTAGACTTATCGGGGGGATCACTTCGTAAGTTACATAAATGTCTAACTACTATGCCGTACACCTGAAACTAATATAAAATAATGTTGAATGTCAACTATAATTGGAAAAAAAAATGTAAGTTAGATCATTGGGATATTAAAAAAAAGAGTAAGTTATCATAAAGGTTAGTCTGGGCTGAGTAGTTTCTATGGTTTTGGCACTAAACGCTTCCTATGGTTAGGTACAGTCTACATTAATGTATTTAAATCCTCATGGTAATTTTCCAAATGAGGAGACTGAGGGACAAGGGGTTTGCATCATGGGACAAAGATGTCACACCTGGTAAGAAGCTGGCTAGAATTTGAAATCAAGAGCTTGTGCTCTTTACAACCAGGTTATACTGCTTCTTTATTTTTTACGGAGTCGTAATTCGTATTGAGTGTGCCCTGTGATAGCAGACAATGCTACTAATCTGTGGCCAAATCAGTCAAATTAAAAAAAGAAGGAAGATAATAATTTTGGATGGTCCCAATCACTCCCATATTCAGATGTGTTAACTGGTTGTGCTGCGGAAGCTTTAAGGAGTCTGGACAACCAAATACTTATTTCTCTGAGTTGCTCCAATAATCTTAAACCTTTTTGAAAAACGAGGCATGGATAAGTAAGCGTTACCTGAGAAATCTGGACATTCGTGTAGCTGCCAGCATCTAGCCACTCCTTACTCAGCAGCCTTCTCCTGTGGCCTATTTGTGTATATAGGGAGACAGAGTTCATGATATTCAGCAATGTGGGGAAACGTTGCTGCAAGTTCAACATTCCAGAACGTTCCCTTTGAGATATTTGAAGACCCGTAAACACGGAGACTCCAGCCAGCTGAAATCTCAAGGCAGGCACCTGTATCTATGGAACGCATATATGCAAAGATATAGATGTAGAATGGATTCATTGCCATAGCCAGGTATAATTGCTAATGCCACCCATGTAAATACCCATGACTAAGAATTTAGGGGGCATTTAAAATATTCCCAAGTATAAAAATAGTCCCGATTTATCGTGCAATTTTGAATGTACCTCAAAGCTGAAGTGAGGACCTTGTCATTGATTCGCCATGGGTATTTAGCAGGCCAGCCCTTTATCTGCCTGAGATAGAAAGCCAGACGTATTAGTCATTTCTGTATATAAGATTCTGTGTTAATGACACATATCATAATATTCCCATAGTATAATTATTGATTTTTTCTGAAGCTTATGCAGAATTAACAACCCGGCCTCCAATTGTCTCTCAGAATGGGGCATGAAAAGGTCACGTATTTTGTAAATTAAAATCGATATTTTCAATCTCTCCTAAAGGTAGTTTTCCTAATTTAGTGGACTTTTCCCTAACATTTATTTTGTCTTTTAATTATAAAATGGCAGGTGATTGATTTTTCTATATAACCTCTTGACGCCCTGAGTGCATTTTTATTGCTAACGCAGGGTGGGGGTGGGGAAAGCAGTTGCACCCCTTAATGAGGATATTTAATTACTCACTGAACAGTATTAATTTGCTTTGATAAATTACGACATGCACTCTCCCTCGTGCGCACATTCCAAGGGAAGCATTTACAGAGCTGTTATGGAAGGTCTTTCATTTTGAATGATCAAGTCAGACTTGGAAGAAATCTTTTAAATGCTTATCCAATCCAGTCTCCAGAAGCAGATATACATAAATCAGCTTATTCCTGTGAACATATATAAATCTTCTCCAAAGACAAGTGGGTGTTTTCCTATAACACTAAACAGCATTGATTATTTTCCCTAAATCTCATCATCTTCAGACTCCTTGAGGCTTATTCTCAAGACAAAAGATTGATGTCAATAAAAAATAAATAAATAAATAAATAAATAAATAAATAAAAATGTTCAGGTGAGTCTCAAAGACTTGAGCCAGAATCTATGGTCATTCCATTTTAGAGTTTCAAGAAAATTGAACGCCCTAGCTAGAAGTACAGTATCTACAAATATCTCTTCCCCGTAGCATGCCTCAAGTTATTTAGTGTAATTAGAAATAGTGTTTCGAAGAATCTTGATGAAAAGAGCTCAAAGGGGTTTCTTACAGGTTTCTCTTCCTTGTAAGCCATTTCCTCTGCCTTCTAATAAAAAACAAATTTTTTTTTAAAGAATTGGTCATCTTTTAGAGATAATCATGATATCTAGCCCACGAAGCTGTTGATCGAAAGCACCTTTAATCCTCATAAATAAGTAAAACAAAATAAAAATAAATAACAGAAGTTTATACCAAGATGTCGATGCGGTCTTGACAAATGGCAAATTCATC